GAAATGCTCTTGGTTGTGACAAAACAGGTCGTTTACATGGGAATAGTTGGGTCATTCCCCTTCAACTCTTTCCTGTCTGGTGTCCTGTCATGCATTGGAACTGCAGTGCTTGGTGGTAAGAATTTCTTTTTTTTACCCCTCCGGTTTCTATTCCCCCTTCCCTGTCTCCAGGATATATAATATAGAACTGTCGATGTTTTTGCAGTTTGCCTCCGTATTCAAGTCAACAAGGACAACAAGGAATTCAAGGTAACTCTACTTCCACTGCTATTTGTATGTCAAATTATTCTTTGGATTCCAACATAACATTCTATGTTGAAACATTATCTGCAGGATCTTCCCCCGGAGAGGGCCTTTGCTGATTTCGTCCTGTGCAATCTGGTGCTCCACCTGGTGATCATGAACTTCCTTGGATGAGCAACTGTCATACAAGCTGTCGAGATTTTGTAGTGTCCTAATGTCTAAGACTGTCAGCATGTTAGATATTCATGTGGCACCATACACACCTATGTAATCCGAGAGTTTCTCTATGAACTATAAGAATTCAGTGGATTTAGTGTTAACTTTGTGGAACATGAGAACTTATTCGATTGAGTGAAGACAGCGAAAAGTGATCACTTAAATATTAGTATTGTTCACTCATGATGCTGTGCTGAAAAAAACAGTGACCTGCTTAAAATGCAGTTCTGATGGCTGCAATGCACATTGATTAGTAAACCTGAATTCAGAATATGTCATAAGGCTTATAGCCAACAACAAAATTATTAGATACAGCTTGTGCTTTGTGGAACATCACAACTCTCTCTTTAGGCTGATGTGAGGAAGAAAATCTCAATTCAGTGAGCATATGTCCTGATCATCCAATCTGAAGTTTTGATCTCAAAAACAAAAAGCATCCAGTCCGAAGTTGCAAGACCAGTTACAAATTAGCATTCCCTCATCTCATATTTCAATCACCATTTGCTTCTTGTGTCGTCAGGCTTATTGTTTGTTTGGAAGACAACTCATAACCACTTGACATCACAGTAATGCTCTGGTTGAACATATTAATAGAGTAGTGAATTGTTCATGATCAAACAATACAAAAAAAGATTCACAGTGCAATTTTGTGTTTAACAGAACCCAACACTCAATACTCAGGAGAACACCTACAAGTATCGATGATTACAAAGACCAGTTACGCATTAGCCTTCTCTCGTCAGAACTTGCAAACATTTTATTACTTGTTGCGTCTTCAGGCATAGTTTTTCCTTGGAAGGCACCTGATGAACACATGCTGCTCTGACTGAACATGTTGGTTCAAAATAATTTCATAAAATTAACAGAGTAGTTAGTGTTTGCAGTCAATCAATAGATAATCCATTTCACACAGTGCAATGTTGTGGGGCAGTAGAACTCAACACTGAGCACTGAGCTCTGATCAATGAAACAGCCACAAGTATCCATGATATCTAAGTCTCTACTTGAAGAAGGCCAATATCCATCTAGAATTTGGAAACAGAAGCAACATCACAGCATCTGACACCAAACCAAGCGACCTTCCCCTACTTCTAAACTACTACTTGAAATCTTAGCACTCCTAACGGCCCTGTCAACGTTATCACCCTCAAGCCACTTCTGGCTTCAGGCGTGCAGCAATTCAGCAGGCAAGGATGCAGGGTCAAGCTCCCAGCAATCACCAGGAGGCAGTGTCGAGGCTTCACCCTTGGAGACTTTCCTCGCCGGTGTCTGATGCGAAAGCAACCCAACATCGCCCTCCCGGAGGTACTGAACGGCACGGACACCAATCTCGCGGCGGGTGAAGATGCTCCTGAAACCCTCCACCTTCTCCAGGTAGCCGAAGCTGATGCCGTGCACTTCACTGTACCCACTGAGGAACACCACAAAGTCATACTTGGGCCTCCCGGTGTCGATGTACTCTCCGGCATAGAGCGCCCAGACCGAACCCTTTTTGGGGTAAACACGATACGCCTCCCTCGCCACCTTCTCGCAGGCGACAAGATGCGAGAAGACGTTCACCGAGTGCACCGTGACTTCTCTCCCAACCTTGAACGCCCCACATGGCTTGCCCTCCTTCCCATCAGGCTGGTGCTCCAGCCACCGTATCTGGGCACGGAACTGCCTGCCCGGCAATGCCGTCTCCACCAGCGCATAGTGCCGCGGCATGCCATCGTCGTCCCCATACAATGCCCACACCTGGCCTCTCTTGAAGCATTTCTCCATGCGGTCGGCGTCGAAGTTGTAGAAGTCAGAGTCCTCCACAGCCATCTGCCCCGAGTGATAGCTATCCGGCTCCTCCTCGGGCACCTCCAGTTCCGACTGCTCGTCAGAATCGTCACTGGATGAGCTCTGTGCGGCCCTCTGGTCTTTCCCTTTCCTCTTGGCGAGCTGGAGCTGCATCTCGGCGAGCGTCTTCTCCGGCTTGTGCTTCTTGGGCGGCGGAGGAGGGGGCACCTCGGCGGCGAGGAACGACCGGCGGCAGGAGGGGCATGTGAGGCGGAAGCCCACGTACTGCCGGTCGAACTCGTGGAGGAGGCGGCAGCCGGCGCAGGCCGTCCAGAAGGTGGGCGGCGGGGGCGGCGCCTCCCGCTCCTCCTTGAGCGCGGCGTAGGCGTCGGCCGCGCGGCGGAGCGCCTCCTGCGCCGCGGCGGCGGCGGCGGGGTAGGAGGAGGCGCCGTCGCCGGGGCGGAGGGATCTGGAGAGGGACTTGTAGTGGCGCCGGATGGCGTCGGGGTCGCTGGCGAGGGAGGACTTGGGGTCCTCGGGGAGGAGGAGGGTGGCGCGGGGGGAGCCGGCGTCGGCCAGGAGGACGGAGGTGGCGGCGAGGAGGACGGAGGCGACTGCGGAGCCCGGGTCGAGGCGGGCGGCGCGGCGGGCCTGCCTCTGCGCGGCGCGGAGGCGGCCCGCGGAGAGGTCGGCCTCGGCCTGCGCCAGCGCCGCGGCCGCCGTGGAGGTCGGCGAGGAGGCGTCGCCGGGCATCGTCGTCGGCCGCCGCCGGCGTGAGGGTTTGCTCGCGGTTTTGGTTGGATGGGTGGGCTTCGGCTGTGGAGTGCTAGTTGAGAGTAGGGCAGCTTTGTGTCGTAGGTGGGCTGGCCCGTCTTTGTTTTGTTTGGGCTTTATGTAGAAAACTAACCTCTGTAACCAACGTCCAGGCCTGTGATATTTTTTATCCTCCTCTGGTAGGTTCTCTATGCTTCTTCTGTATACAAAATCAATAGCCATGTACATGTATATTGAGTGGAAAATAATCCATGCAATTTTTCTTAAAATAATAAGATCGGTACTATTTTCAATTTTCAAGGGTCTGCATTGGAGGCTTTCACGGAGATCATAAAAGGCGATGAACAGGCCCTATGTACGTTCCTACTAAATGATGTCTCACAAGGTTACTTAGTACTGGTTATAAATCTTCTCACACCGTACACACTTGAGGTATGCTAGTGAAACCAAACCGCAGAAAATCCACTCTCATATATGGCAATCATATGCTACAAGACATGCACCACAACATAAGTAGTCCTACCATAAGTTTAGTATAACATCTTGCATCAGTAACTTTTATAACTGTGTCTCTCTTCCTCACAGACCACTATATATATTTTCGGGATTAGGAGGAATCAAGAACAAAACAATATGGGATGTACATTTGCGAAGGTCCACTGCATTCCAATGCAGCACCAGTGGGAAATCATGCACGGAATCGCTGTGAAACCTTGCTCGGCTCCGGCCGCTCCAGCATGGAGGTCGGACATCACATCATGTTAGATTGGTCATATGTAATCTGCCTGCTGGTGGCGGTTCGGACATCATATGTAACATAGTGCCATGGGTCCGGAGATGGAGCCTACCCACTGATGAGCCGACCCAGGGAAGGACCCAAACCAGAAGTACATTACCAGGCTGTAGTGCACTAAATTGTCACGGATGAAGCGACGGTGTGGCGTCATGGCGATGAGGTTAGGGGAGGGAGGGCATACGAACACACGGTGTAAATCCTGGTGATACCTAAACCTGCTGTACACATGTATATAAATATATATTTTATATGTAAGGTGCACTGGAATATTTTGTGTACATGGGCACCCTGTAGAGAAAAAATCGATGTACAACACCTGCTGCTCTTTGCAACCTTTCAGCAATCCAACTTAGATCCCACAAGCGCATGCTTAGGTGTCTCACACGAGATCGATCTGTCGATCTTTGTTGCCTTATGATCCGGTTTCCCCTACTGGTTTCTTTTTCATCTATTCCTTCAACTCTTGCTTTTATTTAGCAAAATCCTTCAACAAAGGTAGTTCAAATTCAGCTCCCTAACTTTGATTTCTGTCAAACAGCTGCACTGTTTCTTGTGTTTTGTAGGTTCACCTTATTAATGGTTGGTTTATATTTCTTAATTTGCGAGTTAACATGTTCAATGATGGCAGCGGAGTTCAATTTGAGTATAGCAGCCGAGCTTGGCTTTGTTAATCTCAGATTCGCTGAAAATCATCAAACAAGGCTAATTGTACATGTCTTCCAATTTATGATAAACATTTTGGCATGTCAACTAAATCAGTAGCCCACGCACAACAAGGGTTATAATTTAATATAGCTAAGTTACATAGTCATCATTATATCCTTTTTATCATCAAAACATTTGCTTACATGCATAAACAAGGATTTCAGCAGCACAACAAATGCCCGTGTAGCGTACAACCTGACACCATCAACAAGTACCGCAAATTTGTTTCGGAACTTGCTGGTTGGTATTTACCACAATCTTAAGGGGCATGTTAGTCTGTGTGGGAGTTTCGGCCTTACTATGGGAAATTGGGAATTGCCGAAATGACTATGTTTTTAACAGATCACACTCTCCAAATTTTCCGTATGTTATCTGCAGGGTCACCGCGTCAATCCGTACGTACTACGAAGTCATTACTGCAGAGTATGGACATTCAGGAGTGTATGGCCTTTGGGTGTAACCGTCTGGAGATGGTTGCACGGGCTTTATTCAACTGATTTTGATTGCTTGTAACTAAGAGACTATGTGGTTGAGTCATGTATCCTTTTGCCAACCGGTTGTGGTTCTATTTTTTCATTTGTACTGAGAATTCATTATAAAACTTTTGCACTTCAACAAATTATGGCTGTCTACATCATAATGCAAAGGCCGGGGCTATACCCTTTTAGAAAATCATGCCTGTGTCATCCACACGGTAGATGAAGCCCATGTGACTCCAATTTATGGTCTCCAATGCTCCACCAACTAGTGGGTATGCTGCCACTATGAAATACATAAAATATGGGTCATTCATTTGTTTTGGAGTTCACATTTATTTGAATTTCATTATATAGTTGGTGACCACTTTACACAATGTAGAGACATAATGTGAAACAAATGGTACTGCAGTACTGGTAGTTCAAAAATAATATAGAAAGGTACTGAAGTTGTTGTAGCATATTACAACAATTACTATGGACCAGGTCGGGGCTTGATATAAAGCTTCAGAAACACACATGAGGTATGCTAGTGTGCCACTAGGATGTAGAGCATGCTTGGGCTACGGAAAGTACCAGGACGCATTGGAGTGCATGTGCTTCTAAATATTTATCCATTCTCACATGCCATCATATACCAAGACAGCATGCACCACAATATAAACGATCCTAGCATAGGTTTAGTAACACTTCGCATCCATCATTTTTGTGTCCATGCCACTCTTTCTCACAAACCACTACACATATTTTGGGATTAGGAGGCATCAAGAAAAAATATATATGAATTCTCCATTCGGGAAGAACAACCAAATTCTGAACCAGTACCATGCACGAGACCATGCCCAGCTTCGTCGTGAACAGGTGCTCCCTGGTCAGCACCACGCCTGACTCACAGCCGCCAGCCAGCACTCGCCCTCTCAGCAACGCTATAGAGAAGCAACCGCACCTCGTCGCTCTCTCTCTACCTCTCTCTCTCTCTCTACCTCGCCACTGCACCAAATGCCCCCTCATCGTTCGCCAGTTGCCCCCATGCTGCCCTACATGCCTGCAGCAAAAAATCAACATTGTGTTGCCAAGCCATCTATACTGCATTACTGCTTGTATTTGATAATGTTCTCAGTTACTCCTTCAAAGCTTATTTCAATTCAGGAACATGATCTGTTGATCCCATTTTTTTGCCTCTCATGGTAGCTAACTTAGCTACTGCTAGCTTATAAGGTCAAACAATTAATGAAACAATTACTACTTGATTAAGGAATTTATACTTGATAGTAGTATCCTACTTATAGTCAGATGCACAAGTATCTTACTAGTCATTATCGGCCTACTAGTGGCCTGGTTATAATATGCACAGTGGAAAACAGAGCACTACTTGGTATCCTATTTATCTCATGGAATATTTAGATAAGTATTAAATGTCCTAGTATAAGAGTTTTAGCACAACCCATTTCCCTATTATCGATTAAGGAGATACTAATGTTGCATCAGCCTGACTACTATCGCACCCTCCCTGGCAATTAGCATGGTTTGATATAGTTTTTTTCTTCTTATTTTTGTTGTATACTTTATTCAATAAAAAGGTAAGCAAATCACTCATTCAGAAAGTAACCAGACTCGTTCTATACTCTCAGGAACCAGAGCTTAAGTATACTTTTCAGTTCAGATATGTTAATGTGATCCTGTTCAGTCCACAATCAAAAGCATAGGATAGAAGTTGGCATCCTCAGTGAATTAATTCATTGCATGTATGTATGTGGTAGTGTAACTAACATGCATAAGTATAGATACTTTACTCAACATGATTTTGCATTTGTTATAGCCTGCTATGGTGGCAAGGCCTGCACATGAACCGATGGTACTGCAGTACCTCTCCAGTTATTTGATCAATGTTCATGTATACGCTAGACATGATCTGATGTGGAACAAGTGAAAGGCCTTGAATCTTGCTTGCATGAAAAATACATGAATGTTTCTTGATTTCATATAGGCAATTGTTTTCTATGTCCATGAAAACCAACCAATATCGTGAAAGAAAAATTCTTTAATTATACATGGATCCTGACATTCCTTCACTTGTAAGTTGTTCTTTCATTACTTGGGAAAAAAGTGGAAAGACTAATTACACACATAGACATTTTGGAAGTAAGCGATTTGACATATACTCTTGTGACTAGCCACCTTGCATATGATACTTTGTCCCAATACTGGGTACTCCTAGAAGTGGCACCAGTTCAAGGGGCCATGGCTTTATGACGAGAACATTGTCAAGGCATGCAATGCTCCACCAACCAGTCGCTGGGTCAGATTAGATAATATCCAATATAACTTGGTCATTTTTTTTCATTTTGCTGTTGACAGTTGGTTTGAGCTTCCTCTATTGATGGGAATATACCAGGGCATGGGCAGTATGGCCCGAAGGCCTAAGCCCGAAAACCCAACGACCGGGTTGTCGTTCTTGGGCTCAAGATTTCTGCTGGAACATCAGCCGAAAATCCCAAATACTTACGATTGAAACATATATGTAATAGTGTACTCCCTCGAGTCCTTTTAACTCTGCATATTAGATTTGTGTCAAGTCAAACTTTGCAAAGATTGACCAAATTTATATTAAAAAATATCGACATCTACCATATCAAATGTATATACTTTGAAACTAGATTTCACGATGAATCTAATAATATTGATTTGACATTATGAATGTTGATATTTTTTTCTATAAATTTGGTCAAAGTAGAGATACTTTGACTTCGGACAAAACTTATGTGCAAATTAAAAAGGACCGGAGGGAGTACTTTTGTATTTTAAAATTATTAAATTAATACATCTAAGTGGAACACTGCTACTCTTTACATCTTCGAGGCGGAGCTGGGCTCATACTTGGCATTTTCAGGTCTTACTTTGCAAAGCAATAGCCCCAAACCCGCTCGAGATTAGCTTTCAAAATCTTAGATTCACTGCACCACCTCAAACAAATAATGGTACATGCCCTTCAATTTATGGTA